GCGAGGTATTTTCCGCGTTTCTCATCTGAGAGCCCGACACGCTTCGCCGCGATCCACCACCGGAACCCGGTGTAGTCGAAGCAGTCACTGTGAGGGTGACACTTCTCCATGTTCCATCGCACGCCGAGGGGGTGCGTGGCCGCGACAATGTCCCACATGTCGTGGCCGTATAGGTAGGTGCCCGGCGGTTCTTCGGCTAAGGGGGAGCGTAGGTTCGCAGGTTGTCTACCCATTTGGTGTTGTCGCCCATGTCAAGCGCCTCGATGACGTCGACTGTCGCGTCCATGGCCTGGCCTTGTAGACCCGTACCCGAGGAGATCCCGAACGGCACGGTGTGGTCGATGAAGAATTTTCCGGGACGCGTTTGAATTACCAGGTACGCCTTGTGATCGGGACGCACCGGTATGTTGCGGAACGCGGCCTCGACATCCATGGAAGCACCCTGAGTGCCTGGTGGGGCGATTGCGATCTGATTCCCATGTTAGCTCGAGGTCTCGGGGTTCCTTTGAAGCGATTGGTTCGCGCCGCGTGCCGGGCCGCATGGTGTCGGTGTCACGAGAGGCGCCCCCCGCGTGGTCTCTAGTCGCGAAGACGCTCCCCGTGACGCTGGCGCTATGTGGGGCGCGCGGCGCGATGCGCGATGCTCGAAGGCACGGTCCGCGAGGCGCGATGACGCGAGGCTCTATGGCGCGACGCAATGTTCGAGGCGCGGCGCGATGCTCGAGGGCGCGGCGCGCGGCGCAGTTCTCGAAGGCGCAATGCGCGACACTATGCTCGAAGGCGCGATGCGCGGCACGATGCTCGAAGCGGGCGCAATGCGCGTGGGTTCCCGAGTGCAGGTCGCGTGGGACGTACCTTTTCTGCCAGTTGCGCCGCAGTACCCCAAGTGGTCGGGAAGAGGTCCGAGTCGATACGCCCGTTCACCGAAAGTCCGTATTCGTCATCCTTCGAACAGTCCTGAACCAGGCGCAACTTCCCGTTCGCCTTCGGCACAACCGTGAGAGGGGACGAGATGAACGGGCCGCCCAAGATGCTCTCGACCCGCTCGCGTGTGTACGGCCCGGACATGCGGCCTGCCGCGACTTCTCCGTTTACGTATTTTTCTATGAAGTCCATGTGTTCGTTCGCGCCCGGATAATTGTCGTGGATAGTGGTGTGTATGATGGGCGCCATGTCGCCAATCGGGAAGCCTTCTCGCAGCCATCGCGTCAGATTTTCGTGCCGGTGCCGAAGTCCGAGATCATCCAGAGCCGAATCCCAGGCAGCCGGGTCGTATGGGGTTGTGACGCGCTCACGCACGGGAGCTGTTGCATTGCGCTGCACAATGGGAGGTAGCGCCACAGAAGGAGCATCGGTGACAGTCGTTCGTTTTCGGGCAAGTGTACGAGCTGCAAGGGAGAACACCGCCCAAGTTCCACGCAGAGCAGATCTCGTGGCGGTTGTCGCACGCGAGAAGGCGGTTGTCGTCCCAGAATACGTAAGGCGGGCCGCCGGAGGGGTTCCGCTTGGTGCGGCATCGGTCCGCCTTGTGGCCGTCCTTGTTGCAGATGAGGCAGAACAGCCTGCGGCCGTTGAAGCGTCTGCCTGACTGAAAGGACTGCCCATTGTCGCGCCCGTTGTCGCGCCCGTTGTCGCGCCCGTTGTCGCGCCCGTTGTCGCGCCCGTTGCCGCCGCCCGAAGATCCTCCGGTTGCGCCGGAGTTCCCACCGCGCGCGTTGCGGTTGGCCTTCCAATTGGAGGCGCTAGAGGTGGTCGCTTGTGCCTGGGCGGCTGTGGCCATCTGGTGCCGCGCGAGTATCATCGTCTTGACGTACGTCGGGCCGCCCACTTCAAAGCGGGACTTCTTTCCCGGAGCCTCCGTGAACCAGGAGTGTCGGAGGTCTAGATCGAATTGACGCAGAGCGGGGAAGCTGGTTTTGTAGTCTATCTCGTTTTTGATGTAGTCTACGTGCGCCCGCCAGCGCGCGATGATGTCAGGTGTGCATACTCCCGGCATCAGACCCTCCAGCATGTTCTTCCACGCTTCTTCCCAGTCCGCAGCCGACATCAGACGCTCGTCCGGGAAGACGCTGACCTCGAGTATGTGATGCTTCTTCTCCCCGTGCAGCGGCTTGGCTTTGACCAGCTTCCGCTTTGATGCCTCCGATCGGATCGCGCACAAGGATTCGTTGGTGAGGGCGGAGAGGGGAATGTAGTGTCCGGTGCGAAGCATGGTGATCAGGCAGGTGTCGATGGGGGCCCTGTTGAGCGTGAAGATGTCGGGAGAGTTGTCGGCCTCGCATACCATACCCTCATCTTCGTCCTCCTCCAGCTCTTCGTCCCCCGCGGTGTCCTCAGAGCCGCTCGCGGATGATCGCGACGGCGATCGCGACAAGCGCCTAGCCGCTGCCTTGCCGACCTTGCCCAAAGACTTCTTCGCGCGCTTGAGCTGTGCCTTGCTCGAGTCGAGGACGCTTCGCCTCCGCTTGATCGCGCTGGATAGGATGGCCTTGAGGTTGCGCTCTCGGACTTCCTCCGCTTCCTTGCGTTGACGCTCGGCCTTCTCGTGCTTGCGTGCGGCTTCATCGGCTTCGCGCGCGGCGTGTCTTTCCTCCCTCCTGCGCTGTTTGGCCGCCTCGCGTTCGGCGGCCTCCGCGGCGGCTGCGCGCAGCATCTGGCGCGCCGCATCCGGCTCGTAACCCTCTTTCATCAGAGCCTCGAACTCCATGGGGAAGTCGAGGTCGCATTGGTCGTCCTGATTGCCTTGGGTGCCCCCCGTCCCCGCGTCTGCGGGCTTGCCGACCTTGGCCGGGGTAGACGCCTCGGGTGCTGGGCTGCCACCCAGGGGCGGGAATTCGATCGGGTCGATCAACCCGGGTGTGTCGTCGTCTGATCCCGGGGCGTCTGAGTCGGGGGTGAACTCGACTGCCTTCGCCTTCCCTTTCTCAGCCCTGGTTTTTCGTGAAGCGCCCGGACTAGGTTCTGCCTGGCCGGCTTCGTCCTCCGCAGCGTGGGTAACACCGAGTATATGCGTGCCCGAGCTCACCGTGTAGGAGGACGGAAGGGGGCCGGGGTTCCCTGGCGCTGTGCTAGCCGAGCTTGCCGACGGATCGCCCGCAGATCGCCCGAGTTCGCGGCTATACCACTTTGAGCCTTGTGCGCGTGCGGGCTTGGAGACCCCCGGAGGGGGTGGATCCTTGTCGATATGCATGTCAGGAGATAGTTGAGACGAATCGAGTGACTATATGCGCTTTGTGTGCGCGTGTACGCGGAGGGGGAAAGGAAAGAGGCTTAGGCCTCGACGCGCTGACGCGCGCTTTCCTCATCCGGCGTCCACGCTTAGTAAGCACCAGTTCGGCCGAGCGCTCGTGCCTCGCGCTCAGTCCGAACGACACCGTTCTCAGCCTCGTCGGAATCTGGTCGGCTCAGACTGGCACGCAGCGTCACGACGCTGAGGGCATGGAGACGACTCGCGCCCATTGCTCGCGCCCGAGCCCGCCCGTTGCCGTCGGTGGAGCGCCGTGGGTCCAAGTACTCTGTCCGGCGGCGCATCGGCGGAATACTTGTCGACCGAGCCTACGAGGACGATCGCGATCATACGTACCGAGGCCGCACGCACACAGCGGACTATCCGAGCAACCCATCCAGCCGCCCGCCACGGGCGGTTCCGCCCACCGAAACCGTCCGAGTGCGCCTCGTTGGATGTTGCAGGACCGGGATCGGTGGCAGGCCTCGCCTGCCCACGGACGCGCGGGGTTGCCGTCCCTCGAGCTGCTCGCCCGGCCGCGACGCCTCCAGCTGCTTGTCCGGTCGCGGTCCCTCGAGCTGCTCGCGCGGGCGGGTATGTCGGATGTGCAACGCAGGCGATCGGACGAGCATACCCAGAGCCGCTTTCCGACGCCGCCGCCAGCCGCCACAAGGAGTACTCAAGATCGGTGTGCGGAAGGACTCTCTGCGTCTCTAATCCCGGGGTATTTGAGCGACATCGCTCGGTCCGCTGCTCTCCAGCTCCCCTCCCACATTCGCGGACTTCCCGCCTGCTTCCACCCAGCCACACCCACCCAGCCACACCCACCTAGTCACACCCACCCAGCTCAGCTACTAGCCATCACTCTTCCCCGCCTAGCACCAGCACGCAATGTTCTCTCCCACCTTCCGCGAGCGCCCCGTCCACCGCCCTCGCACGCCCTTATCTCCCAAGCTGGAGGACTGCGACACGCCTGCCTCCTCTTCCGTCTCCGCCTCAGGCAGCAGCAGCGCCTCGCACACCTCACCGCGGAGCTCGCCCTGCCCCCCATCCCACGTTCGCGCGCGCACGCGCCCTGAAGCAGTGCGCACGCAGCGCAGGACGCGTCCCACCCGCACGCTGGACGACCAGATCAAGCTCAAGAGCGAACCCGACTTCGACCGTGCTGAGTACGGCCGCGAGCGGTGGCGCGCCCCGGCGTCGTTTCCAGGCTCCCCGCGCCGCGCCCACTCGCACTCGCGAGGCGCCCCGACCCCGTTTGCCTCGTCCGCGCCCACCGGCTCCTCGACGCGAGCCGCCTCGCCCGTCTCGAGCGATGCGCCCTCGCAGCCACCCGCGAACGCGAGCGCGCTCGACGGGCACATCGCGGAGGCAGTCGCGACGAACGAGGACACGGTGCGCTGGGTGCGCGCGCAGCAGGCCGCGCGCGTGCCCCCGCCGCACCGCACCGCCGCATGCACCCATACCAGCACGCACACGCTCGTCCCCATGCGCAGGCGCACGAGCACGAGCACGGACGGCCGCCCCACACCCCTCCCCCTCTTCATCCTCGTGATCGTCACCACCACCACCAGCCATATGTCCCCCACTTCGCGTCACCACAGTGGTCGATGTACGCGCACGCGGCGGTGCAGCTGCATCTCCTCGGGCTCACCGCCAGCGCGCCTGTCCAGGCACAGGTGCCGCGCCCGGGGACCCCGGTGGAGCGCGCAGAGGACGACGACGACGAAGATGAAGACGACGGAGACGACGGTCACCGGACGGACGAGAAGACGCACCGAACACGTTCACACCTCCAACGGCGGCGCGAGGAGGAGGCCGAACGCGAGCGCGCGGCGCGCGCGGCGGTGACCCGGTACAAGAATCGCTGGTTCGTGCTCCAGGCGGGCGTGGGCCAGAAGGAGGCGGAGCAGGGCGGGCTCCGGTTCACGGACGTGCCGTGGCCGGTGCTCGGGCAGCCGGAGGCGCCTGGGGACATCGACGTGGAGAAGGTCGAGGCGTTCGTGCGCGCGGGGGCATGCCGGACAGGGTGCGGTGGCACCCGGATCGCTTTGGGCGGCTGTGGGGGCGGGTGCGGGAGGAGGAGAGGGCGGAGATCTCGAAGGGGGTGGTCACAGTGGCGAGGTGCTTGCTTGAGCTGAGTGAGAAGCTCTGAGACTGTTTATTCCGTGCACGGACAGTTCACCAGTACCACCATGCGCTCGTGCATTTTTGCTATAACTTATGCCCTACTTGTGACCTCCTTAGTAACGATTATTCAAGTACGAACTTTGCATGTACAGGTACATACTCTCACAACCACACGTTCAGAGGCGGTGCCGACCTGCGGTCACTGGTCACCTCAATTGTCAGCAAAGACGCAGTTCCATATCGGGTGTACTCCTTGAGAGACGTTGCGAGAAGACATGGTGGTTGAGACGAAGGAGAGCCAACGCCCAGCGCTCAGTATTTCAGTAGGATGATGGACACGCTTGGACACGTGGGCAGCTCGATAGATACCTCGGGACGCGCCTGGGCGCTTCCTGGCAGTTGTCCCTTCACCTGAGACACTGGTGGTCCCCCACTGGCAAGACGGCATTCAAGTCCCCCAACCCGTTGCTAAACACACAAGACGACAACCTAAAACTTTTCTGAGGACTTTGAGAGGCCGTCCAAGAGGACAAAGGTGCGTATCTCTCCGAGAACACGGTATGCACGAATTTGCGCAATGCTTCAGGAATCAGTTCTCCGAGGAACACGCCGCGCTTCTCCTCTTCTATCAACACCCCATCTTTCTTCTCGGTGAAGGTAAATGGTTTCGATGTGCCGAAGAAATCTTCGTGCTGCGTCGCTAAGGTATTCGATGTGTACGAGGTCGGCGTGGAAGGCACGAACTTCTTCCTCCGTATCCTTGGTGCATTTGCGTAAAGTTAGTAACCATGCAGCCTTTCTCCTCGCGCCCCGGCACCGCGGAAGACGCATGGGAGCGGTGGGCGTGCTCCTCGCAGCGGCCACCCGTTGAGGTTGCCACTCAGTTCCACACGCGCGACTCGTGGACCCCCACTCCAGGAGGGATCCCGCATGCCTACAAATGATCTTTGCCACTGCGTTCCTCCCACCAAGGATGTCTTGGTACAAGGCGATACACCGGGGGTTCCAGGCGGAAAAAGAGAACCGCTTCGAAACAGGACCGAGCGGCCCGACGTCCAAGATGCTCACACCGCCAGCTCGAGCTGGCCCAACGCCGGCCCAAAGGTTGTACCGTCATCCTCACCACCTCAGGCTCCAGTCGCCGCCGATGTTCTACCCGGGTTCAACTCCTCCCTCTCTTCTATGGCCACAAGCTCTCTTTTGCCCACCGACGAGTACGGACGCACTAGAACTTGTTCTGGTCGTGCATAAATGCATCTCCTTGCGGTGTTCCAAACCAGGAGACACGGAGTTTTCTCGCTTCCTCTGACTATCCTAGTACAGCAGATCGGTCATTTCGTTACGGCTATGGGACCAGTTGCCCCTTGTGTGGGCAACAGAGCCCGACGATCACAAAAAAAGAGTACGGGCTCACCGCTAGGAGCCTCGCCCATGCCTGCACAACGCGATGCGTGCCAGGAGGCTAAATCCGTGCCCACCAGTGGTCCAGAGGCCATCGCGCATCCCCCGCGCCGCGCCAGGCAACCCCCCGTCGGCTCGCACGCACGCGGGAACGCACGTCCATATCCGCACGCAGGCGCGGCGCGCGACGCGTTTGGGCCCTACCTGCTCTGCCCTGCCCCACCCCGTCCGAAGTCTGCTATACTTACTTTCAGCGTGAGAGCGCGACTCCGGCCGCGGGGCTCGGCGCGAAGATCGAGGTTTCGAGATCGCAGAACTCACCGGGAGCTCGAGGCGCAAGATGATCTCAGAACCCAGGAGGAGCAGTATTTAGTGGGCGCTTCCTCACCGCTGCGCAGTAATATTGGCGCCGCGGGGGCCGCGGAGGCTGGCGCTGGCCTGCAGAGCGCCGCGCCGCGCCCGCGCGACGTCCTATAATATATGTACAGTAAGCTCACGCCGCCGCCCTGCCAGTGCGAATCCATCGATAGCGCACGCGGCGAATGCTGGAGGCAGTTCGAGCTCGGCGTGCTATAGGGGAAGCTCACACGTACTTCCGCCCCCCAGTCGACGCGTTACATATGGCATGACAGGTGCAGCGTCGTACCGCCGCGCGCGCGCCACGCGCGCTCAACTCGGAGCTCTGTCGCGCGGCCCAGAATAGCGACGTCCGGCTGGTGCCTAGGCTCGTCGGGCAGGAGAGTCGCTTGGCGGTCCCCACGGACGTCGACAGGTATCAGCACGCAGGCCATGGTATTCGGAGTGCGGGCTGCGGTGCGTGTGTGCGTGTGCGGCGGGTGCACTGGATCGTTGGGGTCGTCCGCGCGCGGCGGGTGTACGTACTAGCAATCTGTGCGCTACGATTGGTGAAGACTGTGTACATGTAGTATTTGTATCTGTAGGAGGGGTAGCGTGATGTCCGGAGCGGGTCTACGTGGGATACGAAGCGGGGCGAAACGAGAAGCGGCACAGGTGGGGAGCAGAAGGCCCCGACGCGGGCGTGTCGTGGGCGAGCGAGCTGTCCATTCATCTCTGAAGATGCGGCGGGGGGCTATGTAATGGCGTAGACAAGGGAAGGGAGGCAGACGGACGCGTGCGTCTATGCTGAACGGAATGGAAGCAAAGAGAATCCCAGTCCGGGAACGCGGGGGCGCGGCGAGCTCAGTCCGTGTGCGAACGCCTTTACGAGTCGGTGTAGCGCGGCTCGTCGGCGTAGACCTCCTGCTTCTGCGCGGGGCGCTCCTGGCGGAACTGCTTGGGGAGGAAGGCGAGCCCGGCGAAGTAGAGCACCGGGATGATGACCACCCATGCAAGCCACGCCGTGTTGACCGAGCTGCTGAGAGCCGGGCGGCCCGAGGTGGCCGGCCATGCGAGCGCGTAGCCGGTGTGCACCT